TTAGTACAATTGTTTTCCACTGTAATTCAGGGTGGGAAATATTGAACAGGATACATCTACAGTGTCGGGCAAACAGCAGATACTACAACTGGATCCTTCCTCCATTTTGTCATTAGAATACCACATACTAGCATAGTTATTTTGTTTCTCTTTTCAAGTTAGAACACCAGTTCTGTAAGAGTAGAAAAACACATTCACATGTTTCTTCTAAATTAGCAGAAACTCAGTAAGTGACATAAAGTAATACAAGTAGTGGCAGCAGTATGGTGTAGTGGGTTAAGCTGGCCCTATGACACTGGCATCCCATATGAGCATGATTTGTCTCAGCTGCTTCACTTCTGCTCTAGCTCCTTATTCACGGCCTGGGAAAAGTGGCAGCAGATGGCCAAGACGCCCGGGGCCCTGTCATATGCACAGAAGAACTGATGAAGAGCCCTGGCTTCAGCGCTGGCATTGTGGCCATCTTGGAAATCAATCAGTGGAGGGAAGATCTCTTTCTCAGCCCCTCTCTCTGTAACTCTGTATTTCAATTAGATAAACAGATCTTTGAAAAATAAAATAAGCAGTATTATATTTCACTTCCAATTTTCATACTTCCTGATTTAGCAGTATTAAGCCTGAACAAGAGAATGAAGAAAAAATGGCAATTGTTTTTCAATCACTATTAATGAAATAAATTCAAAATAAAAAGCATGAAAAGATTATTTTAGTTAAAAAAAAAAAAAAAACCTCTTTAAATCTATTTATACCCAGGTCAAGTAATATTATGAAAAAATTATGTATGAATTTCACAAATTTCTTTGCACCAAAACCACGGTTTGGTTTATTTATTTATTTTTTTACTTCCTTACTTTTCATTTTAGTGGAGAGAAGGATGGAAAGAGGCACAGCTGCGATTCGATCCCAACGGGTTGCTGATATGTGCAAGGCGGAGACTTTCACCACTAGGCTACTGCACAGGGCCAAGTTTCTTCATCTTCTTTTAAGATTTATATACTCTATTGGAAACACAGATTTACAGAGAAGGAGACAGAGAAAGATCCTGTATCTGCTGGTCCTTCCCCATGGCCACAACAGCCAGAGCTCAGCTGATTCAAAGCTAGGAAACTCTTGGGCCATTCTCACTGCCTTCCCAGACCATAAGTAGGGAACTGGAAAGGAAGTGGAACATCCAGGACATGAACCCATGTGCTTATGGGATCCTGGTGTTTTCAGGTGAAAGTTTAGTCAATTGACCCACTGTCCCAGGCCCAGTGGGAAATCAATAGTGCAGAATGGCCTAACCTTCTGTGCTAAATGCTGATCCCAACAAACTTCAATCCAATTTTTCTTTTCTTTTTTTTTTTTTTTAAATTAGTTCATTTATTTCATGATGCAGTTTCAAAGGCTCTGGAACTTTCTTCTATTTTATTACAATAAACAATCCAAATTTTCTATAAAGTTCCTGGCATACTCTCATAGATTATGCTGAGATGTTACTATAGGAAAATAAAATAGTAATGTTCTAAATCTAGTTTTACACACCTATGATTAACTGAAAGCAAAAGGGAAAAACTACTAGGAAATGGATTAAGAAAAATGCTATGTGGGAATGACAGTTTTACATTGTGAAGTTATGTAACTGAACTAGTAGGAACACTATTTCTAAATACAGAGAATGAAAAATTACAGCCAAGTTTGAAAGATGAAATAATCACACATTTTAAACTCCAATATTTCACTCAGTGTAAAAATCTATATTTAATGAAAAACATCCAAGAGTAATATGAGACAAAGTATGCCCTTCAAGCATTTGTGCTGTATTTTATTCTGAAATATAATAAAAACAGTGTCAACCTATCCATTGTGTAATATTCACACTGTTACGCAGTTAAAAGTGGAAGCCTTGAAAGAATGCAGAAATTCATGGCTACAATAATGAGCTAGGACTTGATGATAAGGTATCACTTATAACATGTAGGCTAAAAACACAAGGTTCCCCAAGGTGATGACTGAGAAGGTGGTGGGCAGACTTACCTGTAAGCAGGCATTGCAGGTGTCATATAAAACATTACAGAAGGCCTGAAAGTCTGGGAAGGGAGCCTGGGCTTGCACTGCAGGAAATAAAAGGTCCCTGTAGATGGGATGTAGGGTGGGAGAGTTGGTAGAGGAAATACTTAGCCTGCAAAACCATTTGGTCTGGCCTGCCAAGGCAACTGCAGCTGGCACCTGAAACTCAGCACATCTACAGCAGGCTATTTTTAAGTTCATAACTGTACATGGCCCGTGAATAATGTTATAAATATACAAACGGCCCTTGGCAGAAAAAAGTTCCCCATGCCTGCGGTAGATTCATCAATAAAATGACAAACAAGAATGGACTGCAGGTTACAGGAGCTCAAAATAGGAAGATAAATAAGTTAAGCAAACTGTGGAAATCTAATTTGTGAACCTTAGACCTTTATGAAAGGGTTACATTTCATATTATTACAATTTTTGACGATTTATTCATTTTTTTGAAAGTCAGAGTTACAAAAAGAGAGGGAGACACAGGAGCACAGAGCAAGAGATCTCCATCTGCTGGTTTAATCATAGATGGTCTCAGAGGACAAAGATGGACCAGGCTGAAGCCAGGAGCTTCTTCCATGTCTCCCATGTGGGTGTAGAGACCCAAGCACCCTGGCCATCTCTCACTGCTTTCACGAGTCTTTATCAGGAAGCTGGATCAGAAGAGGCGCATCCAGGACTCGAACTGGCACCCACATGGGAGGACAGCATCACAGGCAGCGGCTCTAACACTGGCCCCCAAAGGGCTGCTTTTTAAATAAAAGGAATTTGATCACAACACTCAAAACCACTGGTAGGAACTGTTTTACAGAAAGTATCAAGTATTCAGACTGCTTATGCCCACACTCCTCGGACCTAGGCCACGTGACCCTGTATTCTTCCTAGCAGTAATTTGCTCTTTTGCTGCCATAATTTTCAGTTCTTTTATTTTTAAAAAATCTAAATTTATTTGAAATGTAGAGATCAGTTGATCAATCTATAGACAGAGAGTGACCTCCGACTCCACTGGTACACTGACCAGAAACTCACAACGGCTGGGCAAGCCTGAAGCCAGGAACTGGGAACCCAATGCGTGTGTCACACGTGGGTAGCAAAACTACTTGAGATAACACTGGCTGCCTCCCAGTATGAGGAGGAATTGGGAGTGGAGCCAGGACCATGGGTCTGTGTCTCAGATGCATGGACAAAAGTAGTTTCCCTAAGCAAGCAGAACCAAAATGGCAGTTGTATGCCTTTGTAAACTGACACACTATTTTGTACTATCATGATATTTTGCTCTGATATCTTGAACTTCTACTTCTGTCAATTTCCGTAGCTTTGCTTTCTTACTCACTTCTTTTTGCATTCCTAACAGAGGTTAAGCAAATGTGCTTACATGATCAGTCCCTCTATCTCAACAATGACTACCTGAAGGGTTTGTCTAACCTTGCAACTCTTGGTCTTCTACTTTGCTGATTTTTTACCCCCAGTCATTTTTGTAACATTTTGGTTGCTTCATTGTTGATCTCATCAATGCACTTCAAAATTTAATACCTGCATCTCAATGTATTACCTTTTACTTAAATTGAAAACAATACACATCATGCATTATCTTAGATTCTCCATCTTTCATCTAAAGTCAGAGCATTCATCACAGTTCCTTTGCCATGTTGGTTTTAGTTCTCTTACTCCAGCTCACTCTATAGATTCCTATCATAGGAACTACAGTTCTTTGCTAAAAAAAATTTCACTGAGGGTTCTACTGTCTGTATAACCTGTACTGTCTATATAATCTGACTTACGATTTGTTTTCTATTCTAAATTTTCATTATTCTTCACCCATCTGGTATCCTTAAAACATGCTTATCTATGCCATCTCTGTGTCTCCAAGTATCTAGCAGAGTGCTTTATGCTAGCAAATCAGAAAATCGATTTAGATTGTAGTCAATAAGCACAGGCGTATAGTCTCCAGAGTTCAGTTCTTTCTTCTACTACTCTATCTCAACAATATCTGTGAGTAGTGACTCTCAACTGCGAATTGGTCTACAAGCTAAAAGGCATTTCAAAAAAATGTATCAGGTGGTTCCTGATTATGTCAGTACCCAAGGAATGGTCCAGAACTATGTGGACAAAAGATGACTGATATTTTGAGATAAAACCTTACTTATTACGTACATTAAGTCTACAGACTAACTTTATTCTACATATAAACAAAAAGCATTGCTCAGTTCTGACAAACACTACATTGTTTTACAGGAATGCATATATCTCAAATATACACTCTACTTTTATTTGGTTAATCAGCATTCTGAAAACAATCCTACTGCAGAAAAAATCTGACTTATTCAAGTTGCTAATGCAACAAGCTTGTACCAATCTCATTTGTATTAATCTTTTTCTAGATTTATATCGTATCTCAAAATGGAAATGTCTGTTTTAATGAAAACTACAGTAAATCCGAAGTTGCAACCCTGTCAAAACCTCAATGTGTCCATGTGAAAAATGATTAAGCATTCTATCTATCTTAGTCATGAAAATCATGTATTTATGTAAGTCTCATGCACCTTACAAAGGGAAAAAATCATAACCAATATCTGACTAGAAATGAAAAAAACAGAAAGAAACAAATTGTTAAAAAATTCTCTGCCTCTGATATGTTTATCAAATAACATATAGTAACTGGTGCAAGGAGAATTATGTGTATAAAACAAATCAAACACTGAACCTGTGCTCTCCAACAGAGCAGTCATACATGCCCTAGAGCACAAAATACACACCGCCCCAAACTGAAAACAGTACTGAAAACAGTACTAAAAACAGCACGCTCTTTCTGCTTTTTCAAAGCATCTAGTGAAAACTTGAAAATTACATATGCCTGTGTTACATTTCTGATGAACACGCTGCTCTAAGTAATAAAACTGATAAATAACATTACTGATCTGAAGCTAGTAAGACAATAAAGAAAATATTCTTACTTCATCAGTGAGCTCTCCAAACACTGTTATGACATCTATTAAAAGGCTTGCAGTATAGAAGGACTTAATCATGTTTCTGGAAGAGAGTAGGTATCGTTTAGATAAAAAATATTAAAATGTAATATTAGTTGTACAGCTACACTTAAAAAAAGTTTAGAAAAGCATTCTGAAATTAACCTAAAATAAAATTAGATTCCAAGAACACAATTAATATCCATTCCAAATCTGTAATCCAGAGAAAGTAACACAACTCACATTTAAGAGTTTATGGTGTGCTTCTGACTCTAGAACATCTCCTCCTGAGTCCATATCAAATCTTAGCACAGTTCAATGCATTTCAATATTACTACAACGATGACAAATCATTTAAACTGTCTATGGGGGGTATTTTTGAAATCAACATTATTGGGTTAAGCTATGATTTTGGCTACAACCAATGCTAATAGTTTATCAATGCAAGAATTTATTATTTTAGCAATTTTAATTTCTTTATGTTCTTTACAAAAATATTATTCATTTGTTTTCTTATTTGAGAGGCAGGACAAGAGAGACAGACAACATGCACTGATTCACTGCCCCAACGCCTGCAAGCGGGGAACTAGACAACCATCAACTTAAGCCAACATGCTGCCTCCTAGGGCACATATCTGAGGAAGCTGGGAGCCAAAGGCAGGATTCGAACCTTCGCATTGTAGGCAGTGACTTCACATTAACCTAAATACCTGCTCCTCAGTCATTTCCTATGAACTAGATGCCTACAATTATAACCCCCAAATGACGGGGTAGAGCAGCGGAGTTTCAAGCAGCTGGTCTCACTTAGGCTACTGCTAAAGCAGCCAGCTGGGAGACTCAGATTTGTGTTGCTGGCTCCTGGTCTTAGTCTTAGACTAGTGCTCTGGATGGCCTGCAGGCATTTAGAGAAATATCCCTTGATGCCAATGGAAGGCAGGCAGTCAGAAAATTTACATCAAGCAAGAAAAAAAGATATTCAATTAAAAAAAAAAGATAATTCTGGTCATACAGTATCAAATCTCATCAGTTTATTTTCTCTCCTTTTACTTACTTGTGAAATCGCCCAGCACGATCTTCATTGTCTGCGTACAGAAACATTTTCAGAGCATAGTTCTCCAAATGGGCAGAACCAACTATTTCTTGAGTAACAGCTTCATTATCACCCAACTGTTTCTTAAGCTAGAATAAAGTCAGATATCTAGTTTATAATTTGGGAATATGAAAAATGACTGCTTTAGTACAAACAAAGCTAAAATAATTATTTAAGGAAATTATTATACATTCATTTCAATATGATGTCACTGAAACCTTGCAAAAATTAAGCTGCTCTGCTTTAGCCTTTAAAACAAAAACCAGTGCTCATAAAATTTCAAAGAAGCACTTTCATAATAATCTGAGTGTAGAATTTGGTGCTAAAGGTCACAATAATTAAAAATAAAACATATTGTATATACACAGCATTCACATGAAACATCAGACAAATGCTTATAGTCATGTTTTCTTATCCAACATACTATCAAGTAACCTAGAACTGGAAGCAGAAAATTCTTTCCTAAGCACATACAATTTCAAATATTAATTACATTTGTAATCAGATCTTAAAAGGGGTGGGGCAGCACTGCGGCACAGAGGGCAAAGCCACTGCCTGCAAAGACAACATCTGATATGGGTGTCAGTTCTAGTCCTGGCTGCTTTGCTACCAATCTAACTCCTTGCTAATGTGCTTGGGAATACAGGGGACGATGGCCCAGTTTCTTGGGCCCATGTACCCAGCTGGGAACCCAGGAGCTCCTGACTCCTGGCTTTGGAGTGGCCCAACCCTGGCTACTGTGGCCATTTGGTGAGTGACCCAGCTGATGGAAGGCTTTCTCTCTTTCCCTTTCTGTAGCTCTGTCGTTCAAAGTAATAAAGTAACTCCTTAAAAAAAGAATAGAAGCATTGTGTTGTAAGTTACATCCTAAATAGGACCTGACAAAGTGACACAATGAGATTCAACACTAAGTGCTATACAAAATGACAACTCAGAATTGGATAATGGTGGATTGTAAAATGTAGACAAATGTCTCAAATCAATTCAATTTTTGGTTACCTATCTCTTTCCTAAATATTTTAAAAACAATAAAGTTCTTTCTATATTCAAACTGGAATAAAATGACTTTCCAAAATACCAGTTATCAGTATCAAATCATTGTTAAAAGGTTTTTTTTTTAATGTTAGAAAATATAAAATAAACTTGAAAAAATTTAGAATTTTTCATAAAAATCAGCAAACATGCTCATAAACATGAAGAAATCACTTAAGGTCCAGAAGAGATTTAATGAGAAATTATTTCAGTTCATTTATAAATGTAATCATACATTTATAATGAAGAACAATCTGAGCTCTGTCCTATTCAAAACTATTATCTTAGGTATTATTAATGTATTGGGAAATTAATAAAGAGCTTCATTCTATGTTTTTGTTAAGAGTCCCAATTTACAAAATATACTGCCATGAGTAAAAAATTTTCCTCCTACCCCAACTCCATCCTCCCAAAAAGAGGATATTCATAATGATCATGCATCCTTAGAAACATCACTAGAAGTAGGCTAGACAGGTAATAGGCAGCTGCACTCCCTGTGTGACACCATCAGACTCTCTTGAAAGGTTAGCTACAGAAAAGCACAGGCGTTCTCACTCAGTAGCACTGCCCATGGCTGCTTATTACAATCAGGCAGAGAAATTTTCTGTCTTGGCATATGCCTTGATCTGATTAGTAACCAACCAACCAACCAACCAACCAACCAATCAACAATAACCAGAAAATAAACAAAGTTCTGGACTGATGATTTGGTGTTTACTGTGTCTAAATTTTGTGTATGTCAACAAATGTTTTCTCTGGAAGGGACATTTGCATCCACAACACAGCGCCTGGGTTTGATCCTTGGCTTACCTCTCCACTGAGTCTTGCTCATATGGGAGACAGTGGGTGACAGTTCAAGTACTTGGTTTCCTGCCGTACATGTGGAGGACCCAGATGGAGCTCCTGGATCCTGTTTTCAGCTGGGCCCTAATTTCCAGGTAAGATCTTCTTCATGCACTGACTCCCAATCCAACTTTCTGTCCCTAGGCATCTTCCACAGTGACCTATGATATTACATCAATCTCAAGATGATGATTGTTCAGCCACCTGCCACATTCCCAGGAGGGAAGGCTGTCTGAGTCACAACTCTCTCAGCTTAGATTAAAAGAGGAAGAAAGGATATGCAACTGGTATCATTTCCTCCATGAGCTTTCACTAAACAGCTAATTTCACTAAAAAAGTGGATCATTTGATTTTTAAGAGTGATTTAGAAATTTCCAAATCACTCATCCATATGATTGCTTTAGGGAAAGCTTGAAAGAGTTTGTGAAACAATGCAAAAAGCCAGCTCAAATAATGTGAATAATATACTTGCAAATGTGAAGATAACTGAATCTGCTTTAATTTACACTCAGGACTTGCTTGGCAGTATGGCATAAATAAAAAGTGTGTCTAGTTTTTCCTTAGGAACAGTATCACTGTTGCCAAGAGAAAAAAATAAAATGACCACACAGACATGTAAATAAAAATGACATTTTAAGCATAATCAGAAAACAAATGATTGGTATTTAACTTACAGCTTCTAACTGATCCATTAATTTTAATAAAAATTTACGACACTCAGGAGTTTTACTATCAATCTTCATTCCAGTTTGCATGGCATATAAACGACCTATAAAGAAAAGAAAAATATGATGATTTGAAGAATTTAAAACATTATTTTTCTATGACTGAAGGTTTGAAAATACATTTTGCCTAGTAAATAATTTAAAATGTACATAAATTTAAAATAAAATGTTTTAACATGGAATCATTTTGAAAGTCAGAGTTATTGAGAGAGAGGAGAAAGTGAGATTGTCCTCCTGCTGGTTTACTCCCAGATAGTGCAACAGCCAGTTCTGCGTCACACCAAAGCCAGGAAAGAGGAGCTTCTGCCAAGTCTCCCAGGCACTTGTGCTATCTTCTTCTGTTGTCCCAGGCTACCAGCAGAGGGCTGGATCAGACATGGAGCAGTTAGGACTCAAACTAATGCCCATAGAGGATGCCATCATTGCAGGAGGTTGCTTTAAAAGCTACGCCAAAACACCAACCCCTAAAATTAAAAGTTTGACTGTGTTTATACATATAAATAAAATAAATGGACACAAAAATATTATCTAAAAATGAAAAAACATCCAATGTAACAAAATTTTATTAAGGCCTTCTCTCCCAGCAGTATATTTAAAAGAAAAAATAAAAGGCTTATGTAGATCCTAAACTGTCAAAAAGACCTATAATTTAACTAGGGAATCAGGGCACTCCAAAAAACCCCAAACAATTACCTGTAAAAGAATATTTGCATAGTCAAATAAATGATACCGATTAAAACAATGTGAGCTGTGATAATAGGAAAAAAACTGAGTTTATAGCAAGAATTCACTTTTTTGATATACACTATTTATAATAGTTTATGTACACCCTCTCTAAACATACTTTTTATCATAGAAAATATAATTTATTATTTTAGATATTCTTGAAGTCCTTATTTTTAAAAATTAGCCATTGATTGTATAAATTTATGTTATCTCAAATATTAAAAAACAGGAAGGAGAGAATTGTACCATTGCATTTTTATAATTGTACATAATTACAACTATGAATTACATTAAGTCCGTTGATTTTACAACATGACAATAAATTTTTTATTGTTTTTGATAGTTTAGTTTGCGAAGGGGTCTTCCTTCCTCTTCCCACACCCTCCCCTCCCGTCTCACAATGAGTGTTTTTCATGAATTTTCCCAAGTCCATCATGCTGCCGTTGAAGTGTCTCCTCAACATGCAGGAGACTGTCAGTCATTTTGTTGAGTTCATTCTTGTATCCCACGGCCCTAACGTAGGTACAATGAGGACTAGATCTTTATTATTTATGGGCAGTACCCATAACGGTGATAAGAGGGACACTGAGTATCTCACATAATTATAAACAATCAGCCTCTTATGGATGGTTTATATATATTATCTTTTTAAGAAAAAAATTAGGGCACGGTGTGGTAGCCTAGTGGCTAAATCCTTGTTTTGCATGTGCCAGGATCCCATATGGTTCTAACCCTGGCTGCTCCATTTCCCATCTAGCTCCCTCCCTGTGACCTAGGAAACAGTCAAGGATGGCCCAAAGCCTTGGGACCCAGGCACCTGTGTGGGAGACCTGGGAGAAGCTCCTGGCTCCTGGCTTTGGATCAGCTCATCTCCAGTCTTTGAAACCAATTAGGGAATGAACCAGGATGGAAGATTCATCTCTCTCTCTTGCCTCTCTGTAAATCTGACTTTTCAAGAAAAATAAAGTTCTAAAAAAAAGTTGATTGGAAATATTATTGTTCTGTTTTGATAGCTACTCTTAGTTTAAATGGAAAATGTACTCTACTTAGCAAATACTCAATATTTTTGGGGTAGTCAGGACAACACAAATTCAACAATGAGGTACCACTTTCAAAATCTTCAGATCTACAAAGTCCAAGAGTGAAATACTTCAACCCTCAGATTCACAGAAATTTGACTTAATGTCTACTGTCTTCTAGATTAGGGGAAACTGGTGTTTGCATATTTTGCAGCAGTAACTACATAGTAGTACTTTGTATTAGAGAACTATTTAAAGCACCTCTCAGAATGAAAAAGGCATATGTCTACCATGGCCAAGTGAATCACGTCTTGACACCCACCCAACGTAATTCTTGTGTGTGTGCACCAGCAAAAAAACAACGGCATTGTTTCGAATAATGACAATTTCAGAACTCCAGATACTTAGAGTAGTATACACATACTGTGAACTACTAACTCTAATGCTGCAGGCCTTATCATGAGAGATGAATTGCAGATAGTATCTATTTACACTGCCGATAATACCAATTACCACTTGAGCTTTCACCCTCCCACTGGGGGAGTAATTAGGATTGTCTGGTTAGTAAGAAATGGTTTTCAGCTGTTGCTTTAACGCCACTATTTTGATCTGTTAAATTTTTAAGGGGAAAAAAAAAAAAACAAAGAGGCAGAGAAAGGAAGAGCTGCCCTCTTCTGGGTTGCTTGCCAAATAACATAGCAGCTGAGTCGGCTGGGTTGAACCTAACTACCTGAGCCATCATTTCTGCCACACTGGGTCTGCACTGACAGGAAGATGTCAACAGAAGCCCGAGACAAGAGTGAAACCCAGGCACTCCAACTGGAGATGTGGGCCTCACAACCAGGCTCATCGCTCACCTCTATTTCTTTCTTTTTTTCTTTTTAAGATTTATTTATTTTTATTGGAAAGGAGGATTTACGGAGAGGAGATATCCTAACCTAATCCTTAACCCAAATCAAGGTTTAAACATTAACTATTCCTATCAATTCTTTTTGCAGTTATAAAGTAGAAATCTAGTATCTTATCCCCCAGTAGAGTCTTGTCAAGCTGCCGTTGCTGGCTTGTGTTTCTCTCTAGGATGCAATCCTCCACTGTGTATTCATTCTTTGTCTCCACCCCAGCTAGAACTAAAACTCCATTACAGGGAGTTTTGCCTATTTGGTTAGCTGATGTATCCCCAGCAACTAAGATATTCCCTGAAAAAACATTTCTGATAAATACATGCAGGAAAAGAAGGGCTCATTCTGTCTCACTGATTTAAATGTCACTTTCACCATTCATTATCATACATTAAATTTCCATGGGATAACAGAGTCCAGTTCTGTATATTGCCTAACTGCTGTTAGGCTACTTAACTACCACTGTTATTTAACAGAGCCTTGGAACAGGGTTTAGTATCTGTTGGTTCCTTTAAGGATTTCAATCTCTAATGAAGTTCACCTAAAAAAGTCCTCTTTAAAAACATTAATACACTCATGATGCAGTTACCTATTTATTAGATCTCTGTGTTTTAAATTCTGATAATTCTATTGATAGAACTACTTTTCAATACTCAGGCATTGAAGAGCTATCTTATGTCATAGAAACTGAAGTTAGCTTATTCATGTATTTATTTTCTCACGCCAATTTTAAAAGTTCCATCCGAGTTTTATTAATAAAAAAAGGAATTCAATATTCCTTTATTTGATCACAAGATGACCAATTCCGTCTTCTTTCTTTTTTTTTCCGCCATATTTCTTTTTTTTTTTTTTTAATACATTGCATTATGAGACACAGTTTTACAGGCACTGGGATTCCCCTCTCCCCTCCCCAAAACCCGCCCCCCCCCATGGTGGATTCTTCCATCTTGTTGCATTACCACAGATCAAATTCAGTTGAGATTTTTTTTTCCTTGCAAGCATCTATAAAACATAGAGTCCAGCATCTTATTGTGCAGATAAGTTCAACAGTTTCATGGGGAGACAGTCTCTGGTCTGAAGGTACAGCCGAAAGAGTATCATCCCAATCAATTGAAAGCCCCGACATTACATCAGTAACAATTTATAACGTACCAGAATTAGTTGATATGATATTGTGTAACCAGCATGTTCAAAGAGAGAGAGAGAGAAAACAACAACAACAAAAAGAGTACAAGTTTTGAACCACATCCTATGACTTCTACATTGACATTACAATTATTAGTTTATATACAACTGGGTTCTATTCACCTTAAAATGGCTATAGATTACTATTCAGCTGTCTCATGGTAACCAGCCATATTTCAACATGACGTTGTCTTGCTCTTTTCCCCACCTGACTATGCCAGGTTTTAACCAGTCACCTTGGCTCTTCTCAAACAATGGCCTACAGTATAGTTTGACTCCTTTCCCATTTCAAACCACTGTCATTTATTTTCACTTATTTTGCATTTATTTACTCGTAAAGTGGAGTTAGAGAGGGGGAGAAGCACAGAAACATAGAGAAGTGTTCTATCTAATGGCTCACTTCTCAAATGGCAATGGCCAGAGCAGGACCAGGCGGAAACTGGGAGCCCAATGGGTGCAGGGGTACAAACACCTGGGCCATCCTCGATTGCTTTCTCAGGCACCTGAGCAGGAAACTGGGTGGGAAGGGGAGCAGCTGGGATTGAACCTGGGCTCAGATGGGATGCTGGCCTCACAGCCGGAAGCTTTACTTGCTATGCAACAACACTGGCCCTTACTATGTTTCTTTTGAATTGTTCATTTCCTGCTGTAGACAGCTTTTTCCTACAAATGTCACAATTCCCTCCCAAACTGCCTCTGTAAGAGTTGTCCTCCTTCTACACTCTTGAGTTAGATTTCTTTTCTCTTTTGTAAACCTAGTCATATGAATTCTTTAGATAAGTTATACAGGCAACAAATATCCTGCCCAGTTCTTGTTTTAAAATAGAGGTTCAAAATATTTAATATACTAAAAACTACTGTCACCACCACTCCATTGTCTTTCCTTCCAATCAGCTGTAAGCTTGGAAACTTCTTTTATTTCAGCGAGTTGAAACTCAGCTGCATTTATATAATTTTTCTGGTTTTTACTAATGGCTTAAAATTTCAAACTTAGTACAACTTTCATTTCTCTTCCATGTTATTACCATCTGCTTCAAAATCACATAAGTGGAATCCTGGTATTCTTTAATGATTCATGACTTCTCTTCTTTAAAACATTTACTTTTTGCATTTCCTGAAAAACTGATTTTGCTAAGATCTCAGCAAAAATTAATTTGAAGACTGAACTCTACTACATATTTGAACTTTAAGGAAACCTTGGAATTTTAATTGTAT